CATATTTCAGTATATAAGTGCATAATCAGAATGCCCAGATCAATTTTTTGTGAAACACTGCAATTACTCTGTAGTTACTGTCTGTGATCTCACTCCAATATGAAGTGAAACTTTCAGGTTGGATGTGTTTGTATTTGTCTTTGAAATTAAAATAATTTTATACTGAAATAGGATGGAAGATAAACTGCTTCTCATACATGAAATAATAAGGTAAAGACAAAACTCAATTTTAACTATGATTAATGCTTCAATAATACTTGGTTGTTTCTGTAAATGAGATTAATGGTAAGAATCAGAATAACGGTAAGAGTAAAATCCATTCCATATGTACAATCTGAATTTGCTCGTTACTATCAAAATTCACAAAGAAGGGTGTTCAGAACAAAATACAGAATGGCATATCAAAACTTGCATTAGAATGTATGTTGTTGTAGATGTTACATTTGGGCTTTCTCTGGATTCTTTTTGCAGGGTGAATAGAAAACAGAGAATTACAAGTATGCAGGGCATCTTGTTACTACCTGCACACAGATGATCTGAGCATAAATACATCCTTCTGAACTTAACTTACATTCTTGTAACAGATTTCTTAGAAATGTTAGACTATCTTCAGCACAGCTCTGGTATCTGCCATGATAAGACATAGGGCATGACAACTTAACTAGTCTCATGTTCATGAAGATGGCATAGTACAGCGAGTTAATATGCTGTTACCCCTCAGATAATTGGGGGGGATAATTGCCACATGCTTCTGCTGTATGATGCTTTTGTAAGTTCAGAACTTGATGCTTTTTTATAAAGATGTGCAGAAAATAAGATAAAACAGAGGCTGTAGGCAGCTGGTTTACCTTATATCTAAACATGGCATTCAAATGTTAATTGGGTGAATAAATCTTGTTCATTTTACAGACATGAAAGTGTCAGTAGAATAAAATTATTTATGACAGGATAATGGTTTCTGACACCTAATAAATACTAGGATTAAGCCACTTACTGAAAGTATATGAAAATATTCTATTGCTGTTTGCCAAAAACAAAAATTCAGGAAAAAATTGACATGCTTATTTTCTAAGAGGTTGACACTAATATCTTTGGCATAATTCTAATATCGCAGATAAAAACCTTATGCAACAATGCTATATAAATGCTGCTCAAGAAAAAATTGTGGGCATGTAGGTTACCAAACTGTAGTAAACTTTGTTTGCAGAATTTTGCAGATTTTTTCCACTCTCTCACTATGAATTGCATGTATTTACAGTGGAATAACTGTTCATGATATTATTTTGTGGGTTTGAATTTATCTTACGCAAGCATTGTTTTTCAAAATCAGTTTGACTTTACACCTTACAAACAGAACAGTAAGTTGTTGCTCTCAGGTGACAGAGAGGAAAGCTGAAGAGGGCATCAGGGTAGTTTTATACGTACCCTCAGTCAGCATTGGAGCAATGCTGTTTTGGAGTTACGGGTCCAGGAGGGACTGTTTTGCTGTTATTTTTTTCCATCTGCTTCATGATAATCTGTATTTTCAGACTTGCTTTTGCTATTTATTAAAGATACAGCATGCTTAAGACCTTTGACTTTAGGTGGTGGTTTCGCCCCCTCTACAGATGGAAGACCTTTAACTCTGGATGAAATATGGAGAAGTGTTCATGCATGCTACCAGGATCGTCTGCAGGAGGGGCCCTGGGACACTATTACACAGCAGGTGAGAAACCATTAGTCCTTTACAAAACTGGTGAATGCAATATGTGCCTGAATCCTCAATGCTCTTATTCCCCTCCTGGACACAAGTGTAATACATAAAAGTCTTTACAGATTGTGCTGAGCTACAACTACCAACAATAGTTTTATCCCTGAATTTTGAAGGATATATATATGTTCACCATGTAAGACTTAATGTATCTCTCTAAAAATGCTTTTCCAAAGCCAACCCTGAAAACTTCAGGCCATTTCTGAGTAATCATGGATTTGGGTAAACACAAAAGTAGACTTACTTGTGTAAGTAATATATACTAGTGTAACATTTCACAGATTGTCTATGAGTCAAATGACCAAAAAAGACTGTAATTTTTGATTTTAAATAGACTTGCAGTCCTTAGGATTGAAGGAGAGAAAATTGGTCTCTCAATCAAATCATAAGTTATTGCCGACTAATGTCCTTAAGAATCAGTAGTTAACGTATGCCGTGTTTTACAAGAGGAAGCAGGTTAGTAAACTGTGATATCACCGCCTTCTTTTAGAGCTATTCAGATCGCTTTTATTTAAAGTGGTTTTAAAGTCACCACATCATTTCAGCAGCTGTTTCCAGACTTGTGATGATGGCTCTCTTGAAAAAGGCCATACTTACTCAAGGAAGAGTGCGACATGGTTGAGAGCCGAGTTGGTTCCTCTAGTTTCTTCCTTCAGCTCCAGGCCTCCAGTGCAAGTTTGGACAAAGAATAGAGACCCTCTAGGTGTGAATGGTTTATCATCAAAGATACTAATGTGTCCTTTCTTCCTCCCCTTTCCTTCCTTGACTTTTTGGGTTTAGCTGTTCCAGGTACACAGGTCTCTTATCGCACAGCTGGCACAACAGGGATGTAGCCTCAAATGCATTCTACAGGTGTTTCCTTAATTTGGCTAATACAGTTTAATTACAGGGTGCCTGTTTGTAGATCGTACTCAATAATGGGAACACAAGCGGAATTTGTGGTTTTGCAGCCATGGACTGTTATTTACATTATAATAGATCCCTGAGAACCTAACAAGCATTGGTTTTCTGATGTTTGCTGTGCATATCTGAATTCCAGGTGTGAGTTTTCAGATTCTTGTAACACACATTTTTACATAAAGCATTAATTACCTGACTTGTCTAATGCAGAATGAAGATGAGAGGGGTTTTAACAAAATAACATAAAATGGTAGCAAATAACTGATCTGCACAAGAAAGTCCAGATTTTTCAGTAAAGTTTTATAATTTATAGCTGAAGTTTCAGATACATTTCTGCACAGAGAGTGTCCTGGGTTCAGCTGTAACAGTTATTTTTCTCCTTCTTAGTAGCTGGTGCAGTGCCGTGTTTTCAACTTTAGTCTGAGAACAACGCTGATAACACACTGATGTTTTCAGTTGTTGCTATGTAATGCTTACCTTGATAAATGACTGTTCAGTCTCTCATGCTTTGCCAGTGAGAAGGGGCATGGGTAGCCGGGAGGAAGCAGAGACAGGACACCTGACCCAAACTGGCCAAAGGAGTATTCCATAGCACAGCACGTCATTCCCAGTATGGAAACTGGGGGGTGTTACCCGGAAGGCCCAGATCGCTGCTCGGGTCAGGCTGGGTATCAGTCAGCAGGTAGTGAGCAACTGTATTGTGCAGCACTTGTGTTTATTGTTTTATTTTCCTTTTCCTCTTTTCATTTTATATCCTCTCCGCTTGTTATTTCCCTTATCATTATTATTATTGGTGGTAGCAGTAGTGGTTTATATTGTACCTTAGTTACTGGACTGCTCTTATCTCAACCCATGGGAGTTACATTCTTTTGATTCTCCTCCCCATCCCTCCAGGAGCAGTGGGAAAGAAGGAGGAGGGAGTGAGCAAGCAGCTATGTGGTTCTGAGTTACTGGCTGGGCTTAAACCATGTCAGAGAGGCAGAGGATTCAGTTAATTTTGCCTTCACTGCATCCATGTTCTTTCATTCCTAGTTGTCAAAGACCCGTATCCCTGTGGTCAGATGCTAGGTATCCTTTAGGGCTGACATCTCTGATATTTCCCAGCTAAGCTGTTCTGGCTTGTGGATAGTTTATATTCCCACCTGCAAAAATGTTCAGGAGGCTTGGCTGTGTGCACTCCAGAGATGGCATGCCTTCTCTGCACTCATGTTATACTGTGGCCCGAAGCCACGTTAAAGCTCCTCTGTAGAAAGCACAGTCTCTGTTCATCTGCAAAGCGTTGCAAGAACCTACAGCTCCGTGTAGGTAATAAATCATAATGCAATACTACTGAGAATAAAGCATGAACACTATGTTTGGAACATATAAAATCAGAATGGTGGAAGCCAAAAGTAAAACCAAGTCACTCCCACACAGAGATTGTTTCTGCCTTTTAAGGACTGGTAAAGTAAAGCTGTCCTGCATCTAATAACTGGATATGTGTGTGAGATACATACACACAAAGGCCTGCAGAAAAAGATTTTGTGGGTGGTAAAATGTGTGGAGTGCTGAACCTGTGACACCTCTCCAGAGGTGGTTCAGCCAATGTGAGACCAGTGACAAAACCTAAGCTAAGGTGTAAGAAAAAACATTTTTGAGAAATTAGCAAAGGTTATAGCAGCAGAAAGCCTGTTGAACATAACATCAAGGTGAGTTTAGATTAAATAAGATTAAAAACTAAGTTAAACTATTCATCATAGAGTACAACATTGGAACTGCTCGCAGGTAGCAGGAGCCAGAGAAGTTAAAGTCCTCCAGCAATGCCACTACATAATTTGGAATAACTTTACTTGTTTTTCTGCACTATTTCATGTCTGCCTTCCTCCCGAATACCATGTACCTGTGGCTCAAGGCCACATGAAGTTAACATGCTTTACATCAGTACTGAACTTAGTCCAGAGGCCCCAGCTGCATTCCTGGATTGGGAAGGTACTTTCCCATATGGCTGCAAGAGAAAGGCTCTGGGGAATCAGTTTTAAGAGGTCTACGGTTTTAATTTTAGATGAAAGCAGAAGAGCACCAGGCAGGGAGGGTGCATTTGCTTGTGGTCATTCAGCCAAATGATAAGAAGACAAAGGAATGTGTGATTGGTGGAAGCATACATTTCTGGAGTTGAATCAGAGCAGAGGAAAACACTACTACATGCAGCAGTGTCAACACTACCGCATTTTCAGTGCCAGCAACCACTGGTGCAACAAACACATCCCCTTGTAAACTGAGAGATGCATATGCCAGTCCAAATACAAATAGCAGTAAACCCCAGAGTATTCTCAAAGGAATTATGAAAGATAATATAAACATACCGTAAGCACTAGCCGGCAAGCCGCAGATCAAAGCAAGAGTTAGGTCTACAAGAAAAAGAGCATTTTTTTCCCATCAAATGAATCAGGGTTCTGAACTGAAATACAGGTTTTTCTTCCCTTCCTGCTTTTGTGCTGACCCATTTTGTTATGTGGGTTAGGCTTTGCCTGCAGGGACACAGATCGTATAATACAAGTCACTGGGCAAACTCACCAAATCAGGCTTGAAGTCTCAGTGCAGACAAACAGCAGAGAGAAAAGGTTTAGGATTTTGCTTCAAACAGATACAGATTTAAAATTCTACAAACAATCCATCTGTTGGAAGAAAAATTGAGCTTACCGCTGTCTATGCATAATGTTACTTACCTTTTAACTGGGTCTGATTTTGCACTTTGAGTCAATATTTGGGAGATTAGGAAAAGAAAGTCATACTGCCTTTTTTTCTCCCAGTTCCAGGATCTTACACTAATCATTTGGGGCTTATATCCCATGTATTTTATGAAATATGGGTGCCATGCCTGTGCACATTTTTGGTACAACTATATTTTGGCTTATAGTCTCTGTGGTAAAATACATGAGATGAGGAATTGAGACACTGCCTAAGCTCTAAACAATTTAGCTTTTTTAGCAATTAAAATTATATTGCCAAAAATGCCAAAATCAAATTTTAGCTTAAATTCAAACTTTTTTTAGTTACTCTTGATCATTGTGGAAAGCCATGCTCATTTTCAGAAAAAGCATCTTCAGATATTTTTACTGACTAGATTATTTTTATTGCAGAAAGCAAAAGTCAACTAGTTACCTTCTCATAAATAAATTAACATGATAAGGTTGCATAGTATTTTATAATGATAATTGATAAATGGTGATGATTTAATTGCACTTCCTCTAGTAATAATCTTAAAATGCTCAAATGAAGTTCCTATGATTGGCTTTCTTCTGAGTTAAATCTCCCTGGAGTCTTCAGTCATCCCTTTTCTACATCCGGTGATAACTTGCTTTAGCTGTTTTAAATAATACAAATCAATTATAACACACAGCTGTTTAACAAAACTTCTGAATGTTGCTACAGGTCTCTGTAGGTATTTCCTGATGGCTTATAATGACATCAATTTAGCCCACCTGGTAAGATCTGTGTGAGCTGGAAGTAGTTTAATTCTGCAACGACAAGAAAATTAAGGATTATTTATGGATTACTGTTGCATTTCAGAACCATTGCCAACTGTTATTTTAGCTTCTTTTTATGAAGAGTAAGAAGTGGAATTTCAGACATTTCATGCGCATCTCCTGAATAGTTTACTTGTAATTTGGTGGGTGCCTTTGAGGATACCCTGTGTATTCGTTACATTTCTTTGTACAATCTATACGAAAGAATGTCTCTTCACCTTTTTGAATTAATGGATGCTAGAAATGTGCTCTTTTTAAGAAGCTCCCTTCTGAATCTTTGTAACTTGTCCTGAACTGCAAACAGGGCTTTCCTCAATTGTCCCTCACTTGGATTTTCCTGTTCAGCTTGACTTAGGATGGATGGAATCCCAGCCCTGCATCCTCCGTATCACCATGCTGTGTAACCTTCTGGGCTCCTCAGCCTCCCAGCGCTGGTGTTTTCCTGACTGCATTGCTTTTTGAAAGTACTACTAAGGCAGTTATATACCAGTCATAAGAGCAAATAAAAGATCTAGATGTTTGGAAGAGGGCAGGGTGGGAGAAAAAGAC